TATATATATATTTTTTTTTGTGAATCATAATGGTGCGATAAGTCGCTTCAAGATTTGAGAGTTGTCACAAGAACATAGTTTGTGCTCAGAGAAAGCTCTCTGATGTCCTGCATTATACAGGGTAGGGAAAATTAGCAGAATTTTTGGGCATGTCATTTTACGGTACGCATAATTTCGTGTGACTGACTGTTTTTATTGCATTGTATCCGCACACACACATTGCAGTGGCTATGTGGAAAACTTATTTCCAAGATGGTAAGTGAATATTATCCCAGTTATTCAATTCAATTTATATTGCCGAACTTTTAGTCTGACCCGATGTAATCAGAATACTTGGCTTATAGTTGCGTTGTTTGTTTGTGTCATGACTATCTTCTGTTGTCAAAGTGGACATACTCAGACAAGGACATGTTTTGTGTAAGCCTGGCAGTTGGTGGTGATTTCTTTCTTTCTTTATTTTTATTCTTTATCCAAAAGTATGCCAGGAGTTAGTCTCGTCAAAAGTTGTGGGCTTTTTGATGAGACAACACACCGTCTTTTCCTATATTTGACAGGAAGCACATTTTCATCCCTGCCTGACCCGATGACTTATACCAGCGATCCCCAACCTTTTTTCCCTACGGACTGGTTTATTATAAGACAATATTTTTAGGGACGGGCCTTTAAGGCCGGATAAACATAACAAAATAATGTGATGTGACCTGCATGAAAACTAGTATTTTCTCAACATAATGATAAACACCAATCATGACATGGCTGCAACACTCTCTGGTCACTATGGTAACGTTTAAACGTGCCTTCAAGATAAAATACACCGCAAATACAAACGCATGAAAAATACAACTCACCATCGCCGCATATCATAAAGAGTGGACTTGGTGCGTGGGAATATCCCGTTGAGATAAATCCGGATTTTAAGTAGGAAATCCTGATACTGTTTATTAAATCTCTTCTTGATCTTAAATACGATTTTTCAAATAAGCGAAAGACATTTGAAGCGAGTGCTGAACAAAAGAGGACTATTACGTCGGAAAACGTTCAATGACTTGGGGGTCCCGGTTGACTTTATTCGCAACCAATTGCAGCATTCCGGACAGCTACACGGTCACAGGTGGATGTACAGTAATAATAATAAATGCTCTTGTGATGCGAGGGCCCAGTCTCATTCGGCTGGGTCGTCACAGTGCGTAGATCCGATCAGCTTCACCAGGGCCCACCCATGACCACGGTTATGAGCCAGGTCCGCTGCATCCTCCAGGGTAAGCCCCTGGTGCTTGAGATCCTCCCTAATGACATCAAGCCATCTGGTGTGGGGTCTGCCACATGGCCTTTTCCGGCCGACTGTAGCTGGACTGAATGAAAAGATGGCGCGAGTGGGGTGTTCCAGGGGTAATCAGAAGAGATGTTCAAGCCAACGGATGCGCCTCTGAGCGGCCCATCGAGATGCGGGGGGCTGAAGAGTACGTTTTCGGAGGTCTGAATTGGTAACATGGAGGTGCCAGCTGATGTTCATGATGGTTCTGAGTGACCTGCTGTCAAAGCCATCGATCCTCTTGGCCAGGGTCTTGTTTAAAGGCCAGGATTCTGCACCATACAATAGGATGGGAAGAACTATATTATGTGTCTAGAATTCAGCAGGATTTACAGTAAGTGTAGAGAATATAGACTCCTTGTCAGAAAAGAGGATGTTCGCCTGGTCCTGAAAGAGTTGGATCCGAGAGGATTGTCGTTAAGGCAAGCAAGACGTCTGAGACGACGAAACTACTTGTCTAAAGGGCCAAATTTTATATGGCACATGGACTCCGATGACAAACTGAAACCATTTGGAATTTGTATCAATGGGGCTATTGATGGTTTTTCAAGGAAAATAATGTGGCTCAATGCCGACACAACAAGTGGTGACCCGAAGTTGATTGGAGGTTACTACATAGAAGTTGTGCACCATTTGGGGGGTTGTCCTCGAATCGTTCGAGTTGATCTTGGGACTGAAAATGGTCATGCAGCACCCTTGACAGTTACTTGGATGGAGCCAGCACCGCCAATCAAAGAATTGAATATTGGTGGGGGTTTCTTTGCAGCCAGTGCATGGAGTTCTGGTTATCCCTCTTCACAGACCTCAGAGACAATGGGTTCTTTGATGGTGGATATCTGGACAAAAGCATCCTACAATTTTGTTGCATGGGACTTATTCAGGTGAGTTCATACATTCTGATAGCCTCATTTATTAAATGTGTATTTTTGTATGTGAGAGTGTGTTGATGGGAAAGTGGACTGGGACACAAATGAAAGGAAAAAAATTGGATAGTGGAAAGAAGATAGTGGTGTGTCTGTGTGTGTGGGGGGGGGGGTCACAGGGTGAAGATGAAATGACCAAGGTAAACAAAGATGAAGGAAAAGTGTGGAGTGGTGAGGTGTGGTAAACATGAGAGGGGAGGAGTGAGACAAATTAGACAAAGTAGGGAGTAGGGAGAGAAAAGCAGCTTCATGCTATAATTTTATGCTCATAAAAGCTGATATGACTGTGCAGCTCTTCCTAAATCTGTCTGGATATTATTTTCAACAGGATGAGTTGGATGACACGGCCCTAGTTTGGAACAGCCATATCATCAGGCCCTCAAAGAACATGAATGTCTCCAGCGGTTGGTTCAACGTGATGTATACTTTACCTGAACTTTATGCTACAAGGGACTTCTTTTCCCCAATTAACAATGAATAGGTTTAACTGTGCAAAAGCCTGTGTGTCTTTCGTTTGACCGTGCCTTGTGATCCGGATGTATTTGCATTGCGTGTGTTTTCTTAATAAATCCCTTTAATAGTCACTTCAAGAAAAAAAACATTCAAAAAATTAATGTTTCATATTTTCTTAGTTATTGGGCCACCAATAACAAAAATAAATAAAAATTACATTTGTGCACCTGCTAGTTTTTATAATATGAGCCTCTACCAAATGGTTGAGATGAATGTTGATAGTAACACATTTAATAATGGGTTATAGCAATTAAATCCTTGTTTATAACCTTCAAAGACAAAAAGTAAAGAGGGAAATGGAAAAATAAAGGAATAATTAATGTCAAACTCATTTTATTTCAGTAAAGAAGCTTTGCTAATTTTTTGCACAAAAATCCAACACTTTGAACAATGTGTATTGTCAAACCCATATGGGGCTATTTTGCATTCTCCCTCTCTCTGTTGACAAAAAAACTACTTGGATGATTTCAATTTCTCAGCTGTACTGTCTGCAATTTTCCAGTAACTTAACTCTTAGCTCTTGCATTGAACAAATCCAAAAATTCAAACAATTCTCTCAGTGAAATGCATATACAAAATCTCTATGGGGTCCTATGCCTGATTGCTTGTGCTTCCTGCATTTCCATGTAACACGCCCTTTGGGCAGAGGCTACACCGCCCCCTGTTGTCAGCATGATGTGGCAAATGTCCATAGTTGTCAAATCGCACGTCCGATTGTGGTCGTGGGGGTCTTGCAAGGAGGCGCTGTTTAGTGCAAGACTTGTGTGGTGGGCAGGAAGATGAAGGTCGGCCAACTCTGGCTGCTTGCTTGTTCACTTGCTTCAGACTGTGGGCCACAGCCAGGCGAAACCTTTTGAGAGACATTGTTTTTTCCTTCAGTAGGCCGCAATCTCTCTTGTACATCAGCCAGGAATTAGAGATGGAGAGGTCAAGTGTGTAGCCAAAAAGGGTTAAGTACCAACGGCGTGATTTGGCTGGGGTCTTGTATAGGTTGAAGGGATTTTCATTCACAGTATAGGCTTTCATATTGCTGTATTGCGGTTTTTCATACAGTGACGAAATACTTGCTTTTGTTTCAGTGCGGCCTTTCATGGTTATAGATGATTCGGGTGAAGTTTTGGAATGAGTGACTGCAAATAATGATGTTTTTCTGAGTGTAAATGAGAGACTGTTTGCATTTGGGTGTGATTGAGGAAGAGGGGGTGCCATGGTGCCACGAGCAAGGGGGAACGCCGGCCGAACCCCTGGACTGGAGATCACAATCGGCCCTGAAAAAGGCCCCCACAGCAGGACTTCCAACAAAAGATGGCCAAATGTGAAAGATCATATCCACATCAAAGGAAGATTCACCATAGGACAATTCACACCTAATCTGACAGATGCCGTTGAGAACACTTCGACTGTCCTCGTAGACCACTTGTCTATGCCTGAACACACACACACAAAGAGAGACACACCCTTTTTGGGGAATTGTATGAAAGGTGGATCAAGGGAAAGGCGTCTTGGTCACTCTGCCTCACTACCTTCACGGTTAGGAGAAGTTGATGACCCAGAGCTCTGTTTAGAATAATTGGCTTGATCTATGCTGTATTAGACTATTTGTTAGGGATTAAATACTTTTCTGTGTTACTGATTCAAAAGACGTGTGCTTCTGATCATTCCTGAGCCCATCAACGAGCACCCCGGAAGTCTGCCAAGGTATTTAATTATTGGTCAAATAGTGTGGTGGAAATTCCGCCTTCAAGGTGGACCAGCATATCAGAGAGCTCAATACCACCCATATGCTGATTGCAGGCAGAAATAACTGACGGGCATTGGACAGCAACGTTTGCTTTCTCATCTTTGCTCCACTGTTGTACACTTGTGAGAGGCAAGATACCAGAAGCATTGCTCAAAAGGGTAACACATTTGTTGTCAACCCATTTCACTGCAAGTATGCCTTCAGCAGACCTGTAATCAAGAGCTCCACGGCCTCTCTTCATAAGCTCTTTGTCTTCTATTAGATAAGCTCCACCGATGCGGTTGGACCGGACAGTGCCGATGCACTTGATGCCCATATTTGTATGCAGACTGTGGACTAGATTGAAACTGGTGAAGTAGTTGTCACAAAACACAACTGAAATGTGGGGCTGTGTAATCGTTTTGCACAACGTTATGACCACTTTGCTCCCCAGAGGTAGCTCCTGCTCCGTCTCACTAAGATCAGCATTGAAGAACAACGTGGACGGCCCATGATAGAGCAACAGGTCATGCATGATGCCTGATGAACTGGCACGGCAGGATATTTTCAAACCCCACTTGTCTGGTTTATTAGCAATGTATTGGCGAAGAGTGCCAGCCCTTGTGCCTTTATAGGAAACCATGACCTCATCCACACTGTGTTTGTTTGTGGATGGAATGAGGAGGCATTGCTTGCGCAGCATATCAAAAAGGGGTCGGATTTTGTAAAAACGATCAGAACTGCCAGAGCTTTCATTCACACTCATCCCCATCAAAGTTTTGAGTGAGCTGGAGCCTGTCCCGTGTGCCTTTGGGTGAAGGTCGGGCTGAGACACCCAGGAACGTTTTCCAGGCTGATTTCAGAGCATTTGCACATTCACACCTTGGGAAACTTTTTTCTTTCTTTCTTTCTTTCTTTCTTTTTAACGAATGAAAAAGTTCAACAGACCTGAGAATTTTTGGGGGAATTTGGAAAGAAGGTGGAGTACCTACAGAACACCCATGCAATCGCTGGAAGAACAAGCCAACTTCACACACGAAGAACTTCATAACTGAGACGTGCTTATCATTCACACTTTCCCACCCTTTTTCAAAGGTGAATCAACATGGCGTTGAATGAGATGGTTGGGATTTTTCTGCCCTTTCTGCTGTTCCAGTCTCAATAATTCCTCTTTGTTTTTTGAACCTTGCTTGCAAATGCAGACTCTGCAACAAATACAATGAACACTCTCAAAATAATTGTCTGCAGCAATTGAAAGTCATGTACTGGTAGACATTTTGTTCTGATTAAATGTTGTGCAAACAATGCATATTAGGATTAAACTTCAGTAACAATATTTGTTGTGAATTTTCCCTCAGATGCATTTTTGAGCAAACATGTTTTTAGTTTTTTTTTGAAATAGCAAAATCACAAAATGGCTTCTGTTTTGCTTCAATCCAACATAACAACAATTGCACCAAGTGGCACAAACCTGTTCTCCTATGTCACTGTCAGACGAGTGTCCATCATTTGCGTCAAGGTGAGATCCATCTTCAATCAACTGCGAACTTTCTCCCACCATGTTGGTGACAGATAAAGGAGTTTCACTGCATTCATCCAGTTGACATGTTGGAGGATTTTCTTTTGTGTAAATGTAAAATCTAAGCAGCTTCAATTTGGTTTTTTCACAGAGTCTGCCAACCGTTTCATCTAAAGCAATCTAATTGCTTTTAAAATCACAGACCTCAAAATTAAAGTCACCAACTGGGCCTTTGGTTGAGCTTCCATCTGGGAAAAATAGCCCTTTTCCTAACTCCAAAATCTGAGCGACAGCTGCTGTTTTTTCCAAGTTGGCATGCCTTGTTCCTCTACCATTGCTAGTCCTCACTTGATGGTAATCATTGCCATAAAAACGGAGCCATCTACTAATTTCAATCTTTGTGTGAGTCTATTGTGCAGAAACATTCTTATGTCTTGCCATTCCCTCATCATGGCTTTGGAGCACACTTGGAATTCCACCCAGGACACCTTTTTTCCTTGATCTTATTTTGTCTCTTAATCTTTGGAGGAGCATTTCATTATCACCACTGGACATTTTTTGTTGACAAAAGCAAAGGACAGCTATTCGATCACCATAGGAAGTGATATATTTGCCCATTTGCTCTTCAGTCATCAGAGAAATTACTGCCATGTCAACCTGCAAAGATAAATTGTGAGAATGAATACTTGAAATTTTGACTTAAATAATAATAACTTTTAACAAATGTAACATGAGTGATGGTACAGAGCAGTCATCATTATTTGTATTCAATATTACATAACATAATCATAATACATCAGGAAGCGGCAGCACATTTACTAACTGTGATGTCGTTTTTAAATTGTGTTACATAATGTCATTGTAATAAGAACATTAACAGTACAGGTAGAATAGATAGAATTGCAAGCTTCACTTTCCCTGCCAAGTTAGTTTCTCACTGTATTTGGAGGTATGTGTTACTAATTACGACTCCAACTACTATGAGACTACTACTACTACTACTAATAAAACCTCCTACTACCTGGCATCCACATGTGTGGACATCACATTTTTGGTTGTCAAGACTACAATGTTAAATTTTGGACTACAAAGGCCTGGCGTCCACTGATGAGGACGTTAAACTGCCCCCTAGTGGTGGAAGACGAGTGTAACAAGCACATGTAAAATTCGAGATGGCCGGCAACCCACCCAAACATTCAGATGGCTCCTCCCAAACCAAAAGTCGACCAGGTAAAAAATTCAAACAAATTTCATGGCTGATTCTTGCTCAGATATGTTTAGAAGTGTTCTATGTGTGTTGTGGAAGTTGAATTTTGCAAAAGTAAGAACATTTGACGATTTACCATGCTGCTAAACTTGATGTACACATATGTGGACAGAGGGACTTAGTTTTGTTGGTTTTGTTGAACTTGTCCACAAATGTGGACAGAGGGAGTTGGTTTAGAATTTGTATTTTTGGATGATTTTGTTAGAAAACGTCATTATATACAGTACAAACAAATATGGCATGTGTTATAAATAAATCTACGTAGATTTTTGGTTTGAAACAAAATGTTTTTTTTTTCCTAGAGCGTTATTCTCTGCAACAAGTAATGGAAATGCTGGAGTTAATTGGTGGAGACAACCCAAACAAACCCAGTTGGCATCAAAAACTTTGTTTGCGCAACATCAGATGGTATAGTACTGGACTTTGAGATTTATCAAGGTCCAGATGGACTCCATGAGCAAATTGAAGAACCAGGGAATATGGGTTAGGGAGGCTTGGTGATCGATCGTCTGTCTCAGACTCTGCATCCTAATACAAATGTGGATTGTGATCAATTCTTCACATCAATCCAGGCAGTGGAAAACATGATGAAGAAGCAGGTGTATGTAACTGGTACAGTTATGAGGAATCGAGTTGCTGCTGCAGTGCAGAAATTGCCAAGTGACAAGACCATGAAAAAAAATGGAAGAGGAACCTCAGCACCAAGTTACCAATCTGGATGGAAACATTTGTGTCACCAAGTGGTTTGACAATAAACCAGTGTTGATGATGTCTACTGTACATGCTCAAGAGCCAGAAGACACGTGCCAGAAATGGGACAACAAACTGAAACGGTATGTGACCATCTCTCGCCCATGTGTTATCCGTGAATACAACTCCAAGATGGGTGGAGTTGACCTTGTGGATAGTGTTAAGATATGATTCCTCTCTGTTGGTTGGATTTGAAAGAAACAATGTAGAATGCTGTTGAAGGTATTTCCTGCCTACTGTGATTACAATCACCTTTCGTACTCCCTCACCCCCACCACTTTTAGGACCCCTCCAGAGGACATGTCAACATCAAAAAAGGGAACTGTTATCTCTAGTTTCTGTGTCGCAGCTATTGAGGGACTGCGCTTTACTATGAGTACTATTGATCCCAGTCTCTTTCCTGAACATCTGTTTGCACACTTAAAACAACGTATGTAGGTTCTGTCCTGGGCTGCTCCCTCGACACTCTGGAGGAGGTGGGCAACAGCAGGATGCTAGCTAAGCTAAAAGCTATGTTGGACAGTCCCTCCCACCCCCTTCAGCCAGCCCTGACAGCACTCGGTAGCTCCTTCAGTCAGAGACTGTTACACCCGCGTTGCAAGACGGAGAGATACCGCCGCTCGTTCCTACCGACTGCTGTCAGGCTGCTGAATAAAAAATGAATAAATAAATAAATCATAAAATTATTTAAATGATATGACAACAAATGTGAATGTGAATAGTACTGTGACTATTGTATTTATATTGCACTTAATTGAACTTATCCATATTTGTATTTATATTGCACTTAATTGAACTGTGTTTTCTTTTCTCTTCTTTCTACCCACAATCTTGCTGCTGAAGGCTGTAAATTTCTCCAGTGTGGGACAAATAAAGGATATCTTATCTTATCTTATTATCATATTGTCTCTATATAATCACATGAATGTTTCTTTTACGCTTCCTGGTTCAAATCTGGACCCCTCAGGAGCCCGAATCGATTCGTAAACTGCAGAAAAATAAATTAAACCCTTCGAAGTAACTGTTCATCGCCTCCAGCCTTTATTTGGATTACCAACATTCTCCTCGTCCGAAATTCAACGAACACGCGGGGAAGAGGAGGCCGCTCTTCCCCCAACAATAGAATGATGAGCTATTATCGAATTAGTGTCCATACAAAAAAATGGACACTGCGGATGCTGATGCACATTACCGATCTGGCTTCAGCCAACAGCTGGCTACTGTACCGCAAAGACATCACTCTGAATGGCACACCAAAGAAGAACATCATGCAGTTCCTTCAATTCCACATGGAATTGGCCATGACCTTCTTGGCCCAGTGAGACAATGACAACTTTGACTTTTCAGAGCAGGAAGATGACAGAAGTTTCAGTCCAAGGGAAACAGCATCCAGTGGAGGCAGTGCCCCACATCTCATTCCACAGGAAGGCTAATGCACATCTGCCAGAAGTGGTACACTCAAAGAACGCATCACGATGCAGAGCAAAAGGATGCTCAGGGAAAACTCGAGTGCAGTGTGTTACGTGCAAGGTGCTCCTCTGCTTACAGGCAGATCGCAACTGTTACGCTGCCTTTCATACATAGGCATGAACATTTTCCCAAGGGGAAAAAATGCTGGAGCACTTTTGGTGTGCAAGTTTCACGCCATGTTCAGAAATTGAAATGAACAGTTTAACAGTAGCAATGAAATATATTTTTGAAGGTTTACTTGTTTTCTATCTGTCCTCCTGCAACTGTTAGCAGCACTTCGTATGACTTGCGTAAAGGGGCACAAGTTGTTGCTTTGAATTTTGTTTTAGCACTCGGAAAAAATGCTGCTGTGGTCAGGCAACAAATAAAGTTTTGCTCATCATTACTCAAATGTGACATTGTGTTCACTCAAATTTAAAACGAATGTCCTCATATGTGGACATCATTTTTCTCAGAAACTACATCATGTAAAAAGATAATTCTTTGTTTTTTTACACTCATCAGGTCCCAATTAGCCTAAATATCAAAGAGAAAATAAAAATGCATGCCTTGCAAGAGTTCGGGTCTTCGGAGGTTTAATTAATACAATTTATATCATGCTTTTTTTTACCACTCAAAAGAATCAAACGGTTTGCACTATAGTAGCGTATTTACAAAACAGAAAATTAACAGTAGGGAAAGTGAGTGTGTCGGAGCCAGTGTCCATGTTGCTCTTGTTGCGCTTATTACATTCGAGCAGGGGTCAGAAACCTATGGCTCGCGAGCCATATGTGGCTCTTTGGATGATTGGATCTGCCTTGCAGATAAAACAAAATATTTTCACTTGTTTAATCCATCCATCAATTTTTCACTGCTCATGTCCTGTTCAGGGCTGCACTTGGCTCCAGGAGTAATTTTGATTGGATGATACTGGCCTACATGGCTGTTGCTGTATAAACAGGTAAACGCCCCCTTTTGATTGACCCTGCTCAGTCATTAGCTCAAAGCTAATCCTTCGACGAATAAAATGGCGAAAAGAAAAAAAGATGACTAGAATGGTACACTTCAGGACGAATGGACCGAAGGATTTGCCTTTGTGGAGAGAACAGGTTCTGCGGTGTGTCTAATTTGCAATGACTAAATACCATCGACGAAACGGTCGAAAGAAAAGTGGCACTTTGACACGCGCCATGCAACGTTCGCATCAAGATACCCTGCGAGAGATAGCAGAAAGGAAGCCTGCAAGCTACTGAGCAGGGTGCAAGCTACCCAGCAGCAATTCCGCGTATGGACCCGGCAAAATGACTATAATTCCGCTAGTGTTGCTGGATCCTAAGCAATCTTGAGGAAGGGAAAATCATTTAAATTCATGGTGAGTATAAAATAATTAAAAATAAAACAAAAACATTCAGAGGCTTATTATGCTGACACTTTGTTGAAATCACTTTTAAAATACAGTTTATATTACTACGGCTCTCACTGAAATACATTTCCAAATATTTTGCTTTTATGGCTCTCTTAGTCAAAAAGGTTCCCGACCCCTGCGTTACAGTGAATGCCCACCTTGTCGCTTTTCATGTGCGTAAAGTCCACGTGAGGGACATTTCTTGACCGCAAGAAGCGTTCCAAGTCCTCCTCCATGATTCTCTCCTCCCCCGAGGTAGTGTCGTCTCTCAATCAGTCGCGCATGAGTCTACATTCGCCAAGCTGACCCGGAAGTACATCGACGCGCATTAAAAAAAAAAAAAAAAAGATTGCGAGATCTCGTAATCTCTGGGAGGGAATGCAAAACTTTGCGAGGGAACGCAAATTTGTTTTTTTTTTTTTCCATGTCCCCTTTGGGGCTCCGTAGCATCTTGCATCAAGAGGCACTGTGTGCACATCGGAGTGTAGGGTGGTGATGAACCTTGTCATCGAGACGTTGAAAAAAATAATTGCAAAAGCTGTGAACCACCGTCAGTTCCGTGCATTGCTTGATGAAGTTGACAGCTAATATTCCAATCTCCTGCTACATTACAGACTCCGATAGCTGTCAAGGCGGAGAGGGTTTTGCGTCACCTTGTCGCTTGTTTAGAACAGGTGAAAACATTCCTAACAAGCAAAGACCTGAACTACCCGAAAACTGGAAGATACAGAGTGGTTTGAAAAACTGCACTTTATGGTAGATATGACAAGCCACCTAAACAAGATGAATGAAAGTCTCCATGGGCAGGCAAACCTCACTGCAAATGCTGCAAAGTGTTTTGGCATTCGAGTGCAAGCTTTTGCCAAAGATTTACAGCGAGGCACGCTTTTCCACTTCCCCTCCCTGAGAGAATTCAAAGAAGCCCATCACGATCACACACTCAACGGTGATTATTTACAAGGTGGGATCATTGATATGCAAATTTGGGAACAGGTTTTGTGAGTTCCGAAAGGAAAAAAAATGACACTGTCGTTCTCTGTCACACCTTGACCTTGATATTGACCCGTCCTTGTTGAGCACATTCCTAGGAGTAAATCAAACTGACCTTGAAATGGAAATGGCTGATATAGTCGACAAAGATTTATGGGTGTCCAAATTCAAACGTCTGACAGCCGAGCCGAAGACGTCACTCGCCAGAAAGCCCGGCTTGCCCATAGCCACAAATGGAGCGAAATTGAAAGCCTTCCAACACCCAAGAAACTTGTCTTTGACACATGGACTCCTCTTCCTGACAATCATAGGAACATGAAGACATACAGTATGCATTTGAGTATTATCCATCTTTGGATCAACATACCCGTGTGAGCAGATATTCTCAAACATAAACTACATTAAATCAAAATATCGCACCCACCTCATAAATGAGAGCTTGCAGTCCTGCGTCAAAATTAAAGTTACATCTTATATGCCTGATGTTGAGAAACTGACCAGTGATGTCAGAAAGCAGAAATGGGTAAGAACACAATCCTGTCATAGGCACACACTTACTTACAAAGTGGCTGTTTTTATAAAGGGATTTCTGATTTTTGTCAGTATATATTTGGAATGACATTGGGATATTATTGTGTTTTGTTGTTCAGGTCCGAGGAGAGCTGCGTTGGTTGTATTTCAAAAGAGAAGAAGACTTAAGTGGTATTAATTAGATTTTATGTACTTTACTTTTTCAAAAGGCTGCTGTTGTATTTTTTTAAATGCTGGCTGCATTTTATTGCACGTTATGCACTTTCTACGGGCTGCAGTGTGCGTCGAGCTTCGTGACGTCAGTGCACCATTCTTCGTTGATATATTAGCATATTCCACCACCTTTCGATTTCCCTGATAGCTCCGTGTCGCAATCGGCTCGGAGTAGGCGGAAGCCGGGTAGATGTAGCGCGGAATCCGGGTGCCGGTCACTGAGCCAGGTTTCAGTGAAGCAGAGCGCAGCAGAACGTGCAAAGGTTTTGTTGGTCTTTGTGAGGAGAAGATGTTCATCCATCTTGTTTGGCAGAGAACGCAGATTAGCAAGATGGATCGATGGGAGCGGGGTTCGAAATCCACGCTGCTGTAGCTTGACTAGCACGCCGGCTCCCTTCCCCCTTCTCCGACGGCGTTTCCATGCTCTGTACAGTGCAGCAGCTCCGCTTGCTATTAGCTCCGAAACACCTTGTGGATTTTTGTGTGCTGGTGAAAAAGTCCGACCGTCGACTCCCTAATGCTAAGCAACTCTTCCCTCGTGTAAGTAAGCGAAACGAAAATGACAAAAACAGGGATAATACTAGGGAGCGCGTAACCGAGGCGCCATCAGCACCCTTGGGTGAGCTCTAGTGTCAGTTGGGATAATCGTGCATTTGGATTAATCCAAAAGAACCACTAGAAATGTGACGTGCTACTTGTGTATAATAAAACTCAACAGGTTCCTCGGCGAAGAACCTGCACCAGCAACAGCACATCGCCTGCAACCAAATTAGGAGAAGGGCCACTGTCCTGCCTGTTTTCCAGCTCTGCCGGCTGCAACACACCTGATTCAGGTGATCAACTCATCAGCCAGCTGTGAAGCAGCTTTAGCATGATGCTGATGATTTGAATCAGGTGTGTTACTCCTGGGAGAGCTGGAAAACAAAGACGACGATTGAGTCTGGACACCCCTGGGCGAAGAGTTTAGCCTGAATTTTGAACAGCGCTAATAATGATGATTAGCATTAGCCCGAAGTGGGGGCGGAGGGAGGATGATTATGTGCTGAAATCACAGACATGACTTTTTCTGATGGCATATGAAAATATGAAATATACAGTCATACCTTGGTTTTCGACCATGATCCGTTACAGAAGGCTGTTCGAAAACCGATGTGTTCAAAAACCGAAACCATGTTTCGCATTGTAATCAATGTCATAAATTTTAATCCGTTGTAAGTCTAGAAAACTTTTTTTAAAGCATTTTTTTAACACAATAAACTGCATACGCATATAGTAAGAGAGTAGGTAATACGTAAAATACTGGTATACAAATAAACTGGTAAAAATAAAACATACAACATTTTTGTAATATTTTAACATAAACATTAACATTGTAACATAAAAGTTCAAGTAACCTTTCTCTCTCTGTCTCTCATCATGACAATTGTAGATTACATTATTTTACACCTTGAACTAATAAACCCAAAAGTAATGGCTGTTACTATGGACCCTCTCTATGCAACCCTACGCTACGGTACGAGGTAATATCCCTCCATCCATTTTCTGAACCGCTTTATCCACACAAGTCCAGTCTCGTCCATATTAAAAGTTTGCTGGGGAAGATATTCCTCGGCCTTGATGATATTTTCAAACTCAACTTTAAACTTTTCGGCAGCTTCCTTGTCTGAACTGGCTGCCTCCCCATGACGAATCACGGATTGTATCCCACTTCTTTTCCGAAACTTTTCGAACCATCCTCTGCTTGCTTTAAAATCAAACTCTTCAGGAGCAATTCTAGGATCCTTTTTTATCAAATCTCCATACAATTGTCTTGCTTTGCCACAAATCGTATCTTGGCTAAGACTGTCCCCCGCGAGCTGTTTCTCATTTATGAAAATAAGCAAACATTTCTCCACTTCCTCTAAGATTTGTGGCCTTTGTTTTCCTAAACACACAAGATCCTTTAGCCACATCAGTGATTTTAAGATGATTTTAAGGGCTTTCTTTTTTAGGATGCTGCTGATCGTCGATTTCGGCATGCCGAGCTCCTTAGCCAACACAGACACATGTACACCTGATTAATATTTCGCTATCAAATCTTTCTTAAATTCAATAGTTTTGGCACTATTTTCCTCTTTTTTTCACCATCTTTGCTACTTCCACTTGCTTTCTTTGGTGCCATGATTAGAGGCTGATTCACAATGCAGAAATAACAGTCCAATTTAAGTAGATGTCAACAAACACGATACTTTTTAAAATTCTTTATTGAACACGTCCACTCACATTGGACGCTCTTTTTTTTATCTTTATTGAACACGTCTGCTCACAATGGAATGCTACACGAGGAAGCATCACTTCCTCGTGTAAGGAAGGCGAGAGGAGTCGAGTGGCGCATTCAAGTGTGCTGTTTCATCGAGAACCGATTTTCGGTCGTAATCTGAGGCATAAAAAAAGTCGAAATTTTTGGTTGAAAACCGATTTGGTCGAGAACAGAGACGTTCGAAAACCGAGGGTTGACTATATAAGTAGGGCTTTCAAGAGAGTTTGAAGAGCTCATTGAAATTGAGGTGGAAACGCAGGGGTTGGGTGATGTCAATTCTGAGTTGAGTGTTTGTGTTGACAATTTAGAGGATATATACAATATACAATATTAATATACAAGTCAGTGATGGCAAAAGTGATCAGGGTCTTGACGATGAGGATATGGAAGAGGCAGAGGATTTGGTGTCTCATGAGGATATGTTTGGTCTTGGAGACCAATATCAGAATGGTGGGCAGTTTCATTTGGTATTTCTCTCGTCTTCTGATCAAAATGTACCACCCTTTCCTGCCCAAAGATGGACGAACATTGCTGAACACAAAAACAAGCTACAACATTAACAGCGAAGCAGGTGGTTTCTTCCATTATCATGGAATTTTGAATTCATTTCAGAAAATATTGTGGTGTGTAGTCTTCCTTGACAGACGGACCTGCATTTAAACTGAAGTTGAATTTTGATGGTTTACCCCTCGGGAAGAGCACTAGAATCCGTTATGGCCAAACCTTGCTTTGTTACAAGGATATACAAAGAAAGCAATGTTGATGGGACTGTTTTGTGGTATTTCAAAGCGCAATTCATTGGCTGGGTATCTTTACAATTTGGTACATGAACTGAGAACAGTGGAAAGTGACTTTTTGTTCAAGCAGAAAACCTTCTTTGTTCATCTTGTTTCTATTGTGTGTGATATCCCAGCCAGAGCTTTCAGAAGAGATGTAAAGTCACACCATGCTCAACATGGCTGTGACAAGTGTGACCAAACAGGTGTCCACAAATGTAATCGAATGACGTTTCCTGAGGTCAATGCAAAGCGCAGAACTGATGACAGTTTTAGACAAGCAATGGGTCAAGAACATCATGTCCAACTGTCACATCTTGCAGAAGTAGGCATTGATATGATTGCTTGCTTCCCATCTGATGATATGCATCTCATTTGTCTCGGTGTAATGAAGCGTCTTTTGGATTTGTGGATCAGTACCACAGGCCCGCTGCGCTGTCGCAATTCATCTCATCTCACTTCCA